ATCCCTATCCCCATCCCCATCCCCATCCCCATCCCGATCCCCACCATCCCACCATCCCAGTGGGGGATATGCCCCTCGGAACCCGAAGGGACAACCTACGTCCCCATCCACGGGGGTAAATCGGCCAGTGGGGCCCAGGCCACGCCAGTGGGGCCAGGGATCGGTTCAACGATGCTCACTCTGGGCCGCGCGCTGCCGCGCGTCGCCGCCGCGCTGCTGCGCGCAGCGCGCCGTCGCGCTGGCGGCCTCTGCGCGCTGGCGCCCCGCCAGCCGTGGCCGGCGCGCTGCGGCCGCGGCGGGCGGCCGCCGCACCGTGCGCCGCGCGCCGCGGGGGGTGCCGCAGGTGGGGGGGTGCGCCCTTTGCCGGCGGCTGCCGCGGGCCGCCGCGCCGGCCCGCCTGGTCGCTGCGGCGGAGGGTGGGGGCCGCCGCTCGCGCGGGCTCTGGCCGGCTTGCGAAGGCAGAAGGATCGGGGAAAGGAGGGGGGATGGATCGGGGGAGGGAGGCGCGTGGGGAGATGGACGATGATGAGGGTGGTGATTCTGATGATGACGACGATGGTGGTGGTGGTGGTGGTGATGATGATGATGATGGTGATGATGGCGATGATGGTGGTGATGATGCTGCTGCTGCTACTTATGATGATGCTGCTGCTGATGATGCTGATGATGATGATGACGATGCTGATGCTGATGCTTCTCATGATGATACTGCTGCTCATGCTGACGTTGTCTATGACGACGATGGTGATCACACTGATGATTATTACGATGCCGATGATGCTGCTGATGATTATTTTGCTGGTGATGATGATGACGATGATGCTGATTCCACGGCTGCTGATGATGATGACGACGATGTCCATGATGATTATGATGGTGATGCTATGCTGCTGATGAGTGATGACTGTGACGATGATGCTATACTGCTGATGATGATGATGCTGGTGATGATGATTATGCTTACTCTGATGACGATGATGATGACGATGTTGACGATGACGATGAGGATGAGTATGATGATGATGGTAATCTTCATGATGATGATCATGCTGATGATGATGCTGATGATGCTGATGATGATCATGATGATGGTGACGTTGATGATGATACTTCTGCTGCTGATGATGATGGTGACGATGATGATGACTTTACTGCTGCTGCCGATGATTCTAATTGTCTTTATGGTGATGACGATGACGATGCTGTGTTGATACTGGTGATGATGGTGCTACTGATGATGACGATGAGGATGGTGATGCTGATTCTGATGATGATGATGATGACCATGACGAGGACGATGATCATGACGATGACGATGATGGTGGTGGTCATGATGATGACGATGACGATGACGATGATGATGATGATGATGATGATGATGATGATGAAGGTGATAACGACGATGATTCGAATCTTGATGACGATGCTGATGCTGATGCTGATGATGATGCTGATGATTCTGATGATGACGATGATGATGATGCTGGTGATGCTGCTAATGATGGTGGTGGTGATGGTGATGATGATGACGATTCTGATGCCGATGATGATGATCTTGATCATGCATGTTATACTGTTGCTATTATTGTTATTATTGTTGATGATGTTCTTATTATTGTTGTTGCTGTTGATGTTGTTGTTGCCGTTTTTGCAGTTGCTGCTGTTGTTGTTGTTGCTGCTGCTGTTGTTGTTATTGTTGTTGTTGTTGTTGTTGTTGTTGTTGTGGTTCTTGTTGATGATGCTTGTTAAGTATCAAACAGTTATTATTGTTGGACCCCTTATAGGCGCCCTGGCGCTCTCGCCGAGGCGTTGTCTACTTTTCATGGAAAATGAGGCTCACGCTCGAGCGGTTTGGGGGACCGCCAGAACCGGCCCCCCAACAACAACAACGCTCCCGCTCGAGACTTCCTCCTTTTTTACTCAGGGCTGGTGTTCTTGCTCGCCGCCGAAAGCCGCCGTCCTAACAAAACCAGCGCTCCCGCTCGAGACTTCCGTTTTACCTTGGACTGGCACGCTAGTCTTTCTCTCATCGGCGCCGCCCCCAGCAAAAACAACGCTCCCGCTCGAGGCTTCCGCCCTCTTTTACTCTGGGCGGTGCTCCTCCTCGCCGCCGAAAACCGCCACCCCGACAAAACCAGCGCTCCCGCCCGAGACTTCCTTCCGTTTTACGCTGGACTGGCGCCCAACTCTTTTTTGAATTGGCGCCGCTCCCAGCAAGAACAACGCTCCCGCTCGACATTTCCTCCCTTTTTCCTGACGACGGTGCTGTTCCTCGCCGCCGACAGCCCCCGTCCCGACAAAACCGCGGCTCCCGCTCGATGCTTCCTCCCTTCTTAGTCAAGGCGGTGTTCCTCCTCGCCGCCGAAAACCGCCGCCCCGACAAAACCAGCGCTCCCGCCCGAGACGTCCTTCCGTTTTACGCTGGACTGGCGCCCTATTCTCTTGGCGCCGCTCCCAGCAAGAACAGCGCGCCCGCTCGTGATTTCCTCTCTTTTTCCTC